CTGTAAAAGCTCCTCAAAAATATGCACTTAACTGGTAATCTAAACATCCCTTGTGTATGCATCCTGGGGCTCACAAGCTATTGTTATTTGGATAAAATCCATGATGTTAATGCAGTGAAGAAGATAAAAGAGTTATTGTGATTGCTAGAGAAATCTTCTTTATTCTTTTCACCTAGATTATAAAAGAGTTCTGTGGAGAAGGTTTCCTTCATAGAGCAACTTCCTTCTGTTTTAGAGGAGAAAGCCCACCCATAGCACATGGGAGAAGATGGTGAAGAGTTTCATCTCTTTTTCTTCTATGAGAATGTTAAAAGTTTTTCTTAACACTTCTGATTTCTATGGATTTAGTAGTATTGGCACATTGCATAGGCAGGTAAGCCTAGGCTTAGCCTAAGTCCAGGAGATCCATTAGGTTATTTCCCTTTTTCCCTTTCTTCTTAAAAAGTCACAATCCAATTCCTCTTACTGCTATGGTCAACAACAACAACAAAGTGTAACACATGAATTAGTGTGAAATGAGTGTGAAAATATGAAGTACTGTAGATGCACATAATTCAGACTGTGTTAAAGTTCTTTCGTTAGAAGATTCAAATTATTAACATCTACATTCTTAATAGAAAAGACCAGATTTATAGAAAAGATAAGAACTGGAATGTTTCTTCGAATTAGTTATACTTCCTCCTGCTATCATAGTTTTAACATTGTGCAAAAGCACCAAACAGATTTCACTAGTGAATTTGCATGTGCAATTATACTGTGAATGAGAGGTATTCTTCTCTTCTAATGTCATATTTGAATTTTGTACCTTTATATCTCTGAGCATATGCAGATGTCTCAGTTGCCATCCATGTTACTCTTTGCTTGAAGCGCTTTCATCTGAAAAATTAGTTTTCAATTACTTTGGTAATCAGATTCCAAATACCATTAGTGTAACTGAGGAAATAGGTAATTATGCATGTAAGCCTGATTACTATGGGGTCTAGTTTTTTTCAGTGTGCTCAGAGAGTTTAAAAAAAGACTATCATTTTTTCTGTAGCTGTCTCCTGGTTCAATAAGAGCCTTGATTCCATTCCTTTAACTAAAAAGGCCACTAAACATGTTTTCAGTTGTGGTTGAACCCTATGACCCATACAGCTATGTATTGCTTTTAGATCAGTTCAGCAACATCTGTTACTGAAGAAGAGAGGATGTTCTTTACAATCCACTCGTTTTCTGGACATCATGTGTATGCATTTGGTAGGCATCCATTTTTATCTCAGTTTTTCTTCTCATGCATTCTTAACACAAGCATCCTTTCCCTACCTGTTGTTAGTACAAGCTAACATGGGCAGTAATTTGGTTTAAAATTACATAAACATTTAGCAGCTATCAGGTTTCAGACTTTATCCAGTTCATTCATGCTTATATATGGTCCAATTCCAAACTAGCTGAATGTGATTTTCTGGAGAGAAAGCCAAAGTAGGAACAATAATTCCTGCAACACTGTTAACTGAATATCATTTAGGATTCCATGTTGCAAGCTGTATGTACAGTCTGAATATCGGGTAGTTTCTGGTTAAAATATAGCACTTAAACAGTCTAAAAAGTCTGTAATTGAAATATTTCTTTCAATTTAATTAGCTGCTGCATTCTTGTACTTATAGTTGAGCAAAGTAGAAAATAGTATTTGGGTTTTGACTGCTTACTATTAGTGTTATATTTTCTGACCTTATTATGCTAATCCTCAGTTTTATTAATAAATTCTACAATGTCAAATGCATTTTCCCCCAAAATACAATATTAACTGTATGTGATATCAGGCAGCAGAACAGTTTCTGATCTGTGAAAGAGTCAAATCATCGCAGTTTATACACAGTAAAGCACTTGGAGATGTACTTATGCCATGAGATATCGTTACTGCTTTGTGGTAAGAATAATCTTTATTTCAGTAAAAATACTGGAGTTTTAAATTTTAACATTTCTTTATACTGAAGAAGAGAAAGGCCAAAACAGTTTTGCTGCGTATGTTTGCACTTTAATTTTTTCAGATAAAATAGCAACTAAAACCCCTGTTTTAGTCAGACTTGTTACACATGCAGGCTGTAATTGATTCTAGCTACTTCGGAAACTTCAGTTTTCAGTTGCAGTTAAAAAAGAGAATCTCAAAAGAAAAACATTGCAGGGTGGTATAGCAAGAGGTAGAGGCTGATCCTTGCCCTTCTGTCAAACCATCACATTTGGGAAGGTTTTTCTCTTCTTTTATCTTTTTAAACATTTTCCAAAGCCTCTTCTAGTCTACATATAAAGATCTGAGATGAATGCAGCATCTAAGTGTACCGTGAAGGGTATCTTACGTACTTTTTCTCCTTAGATTGGAGGGAGGAATTTACACATAGAAGTTAATGTGGGTGTGTGTTACCTCAATTCAGTCTTCCAAAAGTTAGCTGTGGTCGCACTCCCCAGAGCTCACAAAGTAACTAAGGAGGATGAGTCACTGTCTTCCTTTGCTTTTTCCAGTGGTCACCTTTGAAACCTCATAGGTGAGAGAAGCAGTGCCAGGTACTTTACTCATCCTCAAAAGAGAAAAAAAATGGAGGGAAAATAAAAGATTTAATCCTAATCTCATACATCTTTCACAGTTACCCATTTAGTGCTATATGCGTTCCTCTGGGCAGCCAACCACATACAGCTATCCCAGTAGCTGAACAGTGTGTGCCACTAGGGACTGCTGTGTATGCCAGGGATGTTCCGAGCAGTGAGAACACTGCAACAGCACAGTGCTAGCTAGAAAAGATTGATCACAAGCCATAAACTATACTGTGGGATCATTTTGTGGTGTTAAAAGGGTAATCCTTTGTTAAGAAAGAGCAATATTCCTCACTTAATATAAATTATGAGTGGGGAAAGATAACCAAAATGGAACAGGGAGTGCTAGCATACTGAAGAAAGGTTGTAATTTATTTTGCAGAAAGCACAGAGAATAGCCAATACATTATAGAAGGGAAAAAGGAGACATCAGTTCTGAGTGAGCCTCTGTAGGCTCCTTGAAGGATGTCAGCTGTAGTTTGGATACTAACTTGTGCTGCTGTGATGTACTGGCTGACACGACCTCCCTTTCTGTCGATAAACTAGTGCTCGGTTTCTTTGTACCTTCACATGAACACATGTATCCGCAGCTGAACTTTTCACTGTTACCAGCAGTCATTTTGGAACACAAAGGGAGTTCCAAATCTGCAGAAATTTAGAGTCAATTAATTAAATACTTGCTGTCATGCCTTGTTCCTTCTGCTGCTGCATGGAGCAATGAACTACTGACAAACTACTGGACTTTGCAGTACAGCAATTTGTTTGTAATACTAAGAAAGAAAAAGGTTTGGATACTACTCAAAGGATGACCTTTAGTTTCTTTCAGGAGTGGCATGAAAGATTTCCCCTTTTTTCCATAGCAGAAAAAGATAAGAATGACTTGTATTATGATCTGGCAGTCTCTCTTATGCCTGCATGATTGGGCATCTGATTATGGTAAGAAAATCTCATTTCTAATCATCTCATTACATTAAATCATTACTACACATGTTCCAAACTCCATTGGTCCTACTGTTAGGAAAGCTTTGTACATTTGTCAGCACTATTAAGTCATGAGGTTATACAAGGGACAACTCTATTGCTGGAAGATATGTGCTATGCCTTCATAGCTATTGAATTTGCATAGAAAAACATTGGAATTTAGCTAAGATCTTTTGGAAGCAGTTCCAGAAAACAGAGTTATCTTAAAGTGCTTTTTTTTTTTTCCCCAGTAATTTTCCTAAACAATCAGAAGTTTTAATGTCTTTTCTTCAGATTGCTTTTCTCCAATTACACCCGATTTTTATGTTGTGTTCTATCCTGGTGTCTTTTAAGCACATTCTTGCCAGTCTTGTAGGTTTTAATGACACTCACAAATGTATGTTGGTTTCCAGGAAAGGTAAGCCCTTGTTCTGAGACATTCAAGGGCAAATTTTCAAAGGTGCTTAAGCATCAAAGGAAATTTGATGGGACTTCACGTGCTTGGGTGGGTGCCCCGCTTCATCCTCAGTCATTTTGTGTCTTTGAAAACAGTTTCTTGCCTAATCTGGATAGACTGGGAAAACATGCATTAATATATCTTGGAGGGAAAACAGGAGGATATCAGAATAAAAAGGAGAGGCGAGTACTACTGTGTCACTCTTTGATGTGGGCATGAATATCTCTGTTTTTCTGAATCACGCTAGTGTTGTTTAATTGATTTATTTGTTTGGGTTTTCATGAGAATTATTGTCATAGTGTTTCTGGCTTTTCTTGGGAACTTTGGAATGAGGTGAGAGTGTTCAAAATTTAGCTTTTGGAAATAATAGCTCAGCATAAACACTAGCACAGAGAGACAAAAAGCAGACAAGATACAAAAGAATATTCAGCAGTAGCATGAGCAGTGGAAAAGGCAAGGGGGGTAAGAAATGGAGTGCCATTAAAAACTTTAACTATAGAGTGTTGATTGGAATGGGTCCACCAGTGAGTGTACAGGAAGTATATTAAGATGGTTAAATATGACCTGCTGAATGAGTGCAGGGATGGAAGGCTTTCTGCTGAGAGGCAGTTTGGTCCTGGGCCCATTTGTGAGAGAATGGGAGAGAAAACCATAATAAACTGAAATTGTTTATCTTCCTCCAGAAGGCATTCCACATAATGACATGATGCTATTAACTGCATTCGAGCTTTTAATTACAAACACCCAATCTACATTTCCAGTACTATTTTGCCTAAATGGTATCTGAGGCAGTCTCAGCTCTTAGGTCAGTCTGAATCCCTCTGTGTCTTGAATTTAATCAGCCACATCGGATGCCTATGTTACTTCATCTGAACAGATCTCAGTGTTGTTTCTAACAAACAGCCTCTCCATCTTATTTTCTGAGGTTTTTAGGTCTTCCCATCTCAGGCTTTACTCTTTTCCTTAGATCTTTATTTCCATTCCTTAGATTTTTATTTCCATTCCTTAGATCTTTATTTCCATTCCTCTTAGTCTGTGTTGGGCAGAAACCATTTTCCAAGCTCAGGAGGTGCTGGGAGCGAGGTGAAGGATGACTTGGAGAACCAGCACAAACACCGGTGAGTTCACACACACCCCCCCCCCCCCCCCTTAGAGAAAACAAACCCATGAACTGACAAGACAGTCGACTGGGTGGTAGTTACTGGTCTTTCATGGGGGATTTTAAGAAAAGCAGCAAATACTTAATTTAAAGACAAAAAAAACCCCTGGTTTGTGTCCAAAAGTATCAGAGTGCAGAAGCTAACCTGCTTGTGAGGAATGGAGACAGGACTTCATGTGCCACCACCATCAGTCAGCATGGATTCTTTTGCTCCTGGAGCTTAGGCAGCAGCTGTGGCTAGAGGAAGAATCCGCCACTGAGACACAAATCAGCACAGCAAACTGCTTTGCTGCAGTATTTCTAGCTCCAGTACTCAGAAAAGCACACAGGAGGGTTTATCCAGATTAGGTCTGGCACACAGTTGATTCCGTCAGGCTTCAGCCATATCTTGTGGCAGCTTAGCCAAAATATGCCTCAAAATATTTGGTATTTTCCCCACATGGGTCACAAGCTGGCGCCCAAAGCTAGAGAGTGTTTTCCTGATTGTGTTCCATTCATTTAGAAAAAGAGTCAAGTATAAAAACATATTTCCTGTGCAGAAGGGAAGAAGGAAGTCAAGGCACATCATGGCACTGCCCCAGGCTAATCTGAAATCTTTGGCCAGGTACAGATTTACTGCAGTTATTTTCTGTCCCTCAAACTGTGTGTAGACAGTCTCAACTTCAGCAGCCTCTGAGACATGTAAAATATTATATGCAGGGCAACAGCATTTTGTTAAGTCAAAATAGGTTGTGAAAACTGCATATAAAGCTGTGCATATAAAGGGAGCTCATGTTCTCTGTATTTGAATAACAAGCTAATGCTATAGTGTCCATATGGGCCCCTTTTCTATGGAGAAATACAGACCAACTGAACACAACTGCTCACAAGCCCCGATTTAAGCCCCCACCAAGTCTTAGCAAGATTGGAGCCAGTTTTTAGTTTGTATAGTTGTATGCATGAAAATCACATCATTTTCAGTGTGACTGTTATACCAAATAGTCCTTTAGCCTCCTTTAGTATAGAAAAAGAAAACATGATTCCTTATACTATTGTTACCTAAGAAAATTTAAGTTATTGGTACAACATTTAATACATTCCTAAATAGTACCGAAATGCAGTCGTGCAGCTCATGGTAAGCTCACCAAATGTTCATTTACCAGTGTCCTATGGGAGTCACAGCTCTTGAGGTAAATCTTCATTACCTGAGTGTCAGCATTATTCTCACCCTAAATCAAAACCTGTACCAGCTACTAGGAAGAAAATTAACTATCCCAGCCAAAACCAGGACACCGAGGAGCGAAAGATGTGTCATCACTGTTCTCAGTCACCATTAAGCAGACATTCCAAAGGTCATACTAAAACCTTAAAAGTCCCATTTCTAGTAAGAAAAAAAAAGAGTAGAATATAAAGTCTTGTTTATGAATCATAACAATCAGCATGGAGCACAGCTGCTTTTCTCTGCTCTGTATTTCACCTGCTCATAAATGCCAGAGATTTCTTCCTGGAGGTTCCTGAAGGCCAAACCCAGCCTGCCTAAAGCCATAGTTCCATCCATGTCATAACAGCCATTATCCTGACAGAGCAGGGAGAACCCCTCCTTCTTCCACTTTAATTTGCTAAGGGAAACCCTTCCCCAGCCGAAGCACTAAACTGTGTAAGATTATTTTAAGTTATATACTGCAGGAGTGGCCACCAAGTACTAGGTATCAGCCAAGCCTACGGGGTAACAGACTTAGGTTGAATCAGGATGGGGTTTTACCTTGCCATTTTTGGAAGGGTTGGGTTGGGAGAATGACTCTTGGTAGCTTCTGGCTTACACAGCAGCTCAAATGCCATGCCAGAAGCACAGTGCTCCCTCAGGACTCAGAGGCTGTCATGGCAGAGGAGAGATGGCGATGCAGCTACCAGTGTCAGCTCCAGCACCCTGCCAAGGTTTCCTGGTATTTTCCAAGCTCAACCCTCAGTGTTAGAGCAGATGGGATCACAGCTTAAAGCTGTAAAGATGTAGGAGTCAGCTCTTCACCGAGAACAAGCTCTAAATAAAACTGCCATGAGTTAACTTCTTTAAACATCCTTGCCCTTCTCCTGAGGGTTTAGCTGCCCTCCCTGACTGCCAGTGCCACCTTCATTCACCTTCTTTCCAGAACCAGTTTTTCTCACCCTCTGCAATCTCTTGCTCTTGCCCTCAGACTGCTTTATAAACATGTATTTAACAGTCCAAAAATACCACTCCTGACTTACCATTCCCTTGTTGCCAGCCCATGGCTCCAGCTGAAATAACTGAGTGGGTTGGAAGTTATTTTGAAAACCAAGGAAGTAGGTGATTTCCATGTTTAGGTTTAATCAAAATTATAGTACCAAGATACGTGAAACACTAAGGCAACAAGGCCTGGCTAATGTCCTCTGCTGCTGCTGAAAAGAGCTGCTGCTTTCACTCTTTCAGATGGTTTTGATATATAGGGAAATGTAGTGCCCCAGTAGACAGGACTGTATTTATCCAGTAGCTAACACATAAAGAGCTGCAAACTTACAAACAATTATTTAAGAACTTAGGGTTTGGAGACATTTTGGCTTTCTTTATGTTATCCCCTGCCCTGACACACTTTGCAAAGCCCTTTGCCAGCGTGTTTCCAAAAGTCTCCCAATTAGTCATTCCAGGAAAACAAGCATTTATGATTTGATCTTTTGTCTATAGGTTCATCTAAGGTGAAAAAGCCTGGGAAGCTGCCATCACTCTGCTGAGCTAATTCAACCCAAAGTCATCAAACCAACATGGCTTTAAAAGTTAAACTATGCAATCAAGCATTCATGTGTCACCGTCTGCATTAATGGCTTTCTGAAAGACAAAAATTAGTTCTTATTTAGGTATAATATTCCTATAATAATAGTTGTTAGGAGAAATGTGGACATGAAAAAACAGCTAAGAATAAAAATCAGGAGGTTTGTCTCAGCTAAAAGGTATTTTTCTATTTTTGATATTCTCAGTTATTTTCCAGAGCTTCTGTGATCAACATTTTAAGTCAGTCACAGGATTCCTGCTTGATTGCCCACTGAGTGTACTTCATTAGCTCTACTTTATTGACCTTAGAAATTGCTGTTAAGGGAGCCCTCACATGTCTGGTTTTAACTAGGATGCTCCCTTTCCTTACTTCCAACCAGTATATTTCAAACGTGGCACCCAGATCGCTCATCCAACTTAAATGTCTTTTTGTTCTTCTCATGCTTTCCACAGCAGGTCCACTCGCCCCATTTCTTCTAATACATCTTGTGGGTGTTGATAGTGCATCGCAGTGCCCCCTTTTAAATGCTGAATTATTTCAGCAACTAGGAAGTTGTTTTCTCTTGCTCCAGTGACATTTTATGGCACAGTAAGGTAGCCTTAAAGTGAGAACTACTGGCTTTAGAGGACTGTCCTTCATCATTTGAGCCCTTCTGGCCATAACAATAGCATAAAATATACACTGGGCCTCATCTTAGTTCCTGGCCCAGATTTCTGTGGCAATGCCAGAGCTTGCTGATCTGCTTTTCTCCGTGCATTCAATTGAGAGTTACCTCAGCAACCCCGGGTTTGCTCTCCCTAACTCTGCAGGCTCCCGCACAAGCCTTGCATGGTGCCAAGATGCTGTAATAACCCCCACCTCGCTCCCACCCTCGGGACTTGTGTCACACACAGCCTGATGCCTCATACTTCTCCTACTACTAATTCTTAGCAACACCTGGAGAAAGAAGACTAAAGAAGCAGACTTCTGGGTCTAGAAGACTGAAGTTCTGCTTCTGGTTGTAGCCTTCTTCCGCTGCACACCAGCTCGCTCCTCTTTGTCTCTAAAGGTCTGTCAGTCTTTTCAAAAACAAGAACTTTTTTCCCTGACAAAGCCAGATTCTTGGCACATTCTTCCAGCATTCCTTTGAACATCCAGTCAGCAAACAACAGCGCAAACACTCGCCTGCCCTCTCATTGTTTTCTGACCCTGATTTACAAGAGGTCAGCGTGATAGATGTTTAAACTAACCACAGGCTTGGTTTGTGCCAGGCCATTCCATCTGAGCCTTCATGTCATATTAATTGTGATTCCCTTAAAATCTATTGCAATTAAAATCAAAAGCAACAGTTGTGTGCTTTCAGCACTTCCCACCCAAATACTACATATTACTTGAGGCCAGATCCTACCCCTCTCTTTCTTTCTGGATATCATCTTCCCTTCTATTATTCATATTTTCAAATAGCTCTTGAAAACCATGGAAGTTCATCTAATCGAGTGGACAGCCAAGTGTAGTGACATCCAAGAGCAAAGTGATACTTCAGATAAGCATGTTACAAGCTGGCCCTTTGCAGACATTTCTATGCTGGCTTTCACAACATAAATATGTGATGTGGGCAAGCAGACAGTCTTAGATTTTCTGTTTTGAAAATCAAGAAGTTACAGCCCTGATTTTAGAGATACATCTCAGATCTACTTTCAGCCTAGTAGGGAGTGTGCCACAACAAATGAAAAACAGGGTACTGTAGGGGCTGCAGTTTGAATGCTTTTTCATATCCAGCACTGGCACTGCACATGGCAAAGGGTCCTACCTAGCAGCAGCATCTTGAGAAGATGCCCTCGTTGCAGCACCAGCCAGTTGTGCTGGGATTGAGCTATGTAGCTCCTCGCCCAGTAGGGCAACTGCTAGCTCAAACTCTGATCCTGCTCCTTGGCCTCTTCCTAATATCACCTGCTTTTTCCCTCACTGCATTTCTTTCACTGTCTTCCTTCATTGTTTGCTGTATGTTTAATTCTGCTTTGTCTTGATTTCACTGGAACTAGCAGCCTTCTGCTGGGCTCTCAGACCTTGAAGGATCTGCTGTACTTCCTCTCTGGTCTTGCAGGGCTGCTGCTGAAGCTTCTGGCAGAGTTTCTTTCTTGTAGCCTTTTTTCTCCCAGACTCCACTGAAATAGCTGTTTGACTTTCCAACAAGAGATGCTGCCTTACTACCAGGAGCAGGTGGTTCTCATTGCAGAAATTTCAGTGAAGAAACCAAAGCATGTGACATCTTGTGAATCACAGATTCTTCTTTCTGTCCTGACATTTCTCTTATCTTTCTGAGTGGAAGGCTGATCCTTAAAACGGATAACTAAGTGAGACTGCATACACAGCACTGCAGCCCAGCCAAATAACATCCAGACAAACGGCTTAGGTGGAGTCACTGTAACATGCAGAATTAAAAAAGATTGCTGGATTTTGGCCTGTACAGTATTTTTCTGTTTGTTCTACTGCTCTCCAGCTGAAATAAAAATGACACAGCCTGACAACTCCTAAGTCAATGTTTAAAACCTCCCCATTTCTTATCTGTTACCATAACCCCATATTTGTTTTCTTTTTCAAAAGGTTGAACCTGAGACCCTATTTGCCATTTTGCAGCATTTCTTCATTCCTGCCTGAGAACTGGAGTGCTGGCAACCGCAGCCAGCCACCAGCTGCTTCAGCTTGTTCCACGCTGTAGGAAGTCAAACTGAACATGCAGCACCTTGTAAACCTTATAATATAACCTGTCCAATGGGGAAAAAATGCATAAAGAAAAAAGGCAAGAGATCATAGAGAAAATCGGGTTTTTTAAACACACATTAGAGAGGTTACCTGCAGCAAGAGAGGATATTGAGTTTAAATATCTAACATTCAAAATCTGAATGTCTTATTTTAATAAAGATCTCCAGGCTTGGATGACTTTGGCTTGGGTCTATCTCTCAGTTTGGTGTTATCTGGATTGAGCTAGTTGAAAGGAGCTTCTTCTGTGTCTCCAGACAAGTTCATCCAGTTTCTATCACTAGCCCATCCCATAACAACAATAACTTTACACTTAGCTCATGAAGACATGCCAGAGAATCTTCTGCACCTCGCTGCAGTCCAGGCAGGCTGGAAGGCAAAGCAGTGTCCTGGGAGTAGCTGTGCCTGAGCCCATAACAACCGGGTTTTTTTTTGTCCTACTCAGTATCGGAATGTTCTTTCTGATTTCAGTTGTGTGAAAGGACAACAGCTTGGAGCTCGTGCATGTGCTATCTGAGTGGTCCTGATAATGCCAGTGTCACAGTTACAGTCATTATCCTTGATAACAGTAATGTTCTCCTGCTGCCTCCTGAGTGGATTCACTGTGAAAGAGGACATAGCCCATCTGCAGGTGCAAGGAGCAATGCTTCCCAAGGCTACTTTAGCCTTTCCCACCTTAAGAAGCCTGTCCTTGACTCCAATTGCTCTCCCCTCCTTGCTGTGGGTCTGCTCCTTGGGCAGCACATCTACAATCACTGCTCAGTTTTCTTCTTCAGTTCTAGCCTAGATCTTCCCTGATTTGGCTTCTGCTTCCTGTGTTGCACTGAATCAGTGTACTTAGCTCATGACTTCCATAAAGTTCAGAAATGGTGGTAAGATGAGTCTTTCATTCTGATTTTAAACTGTCACTTTAAAAACATTTTAAACTGTTACTTGTAAAAATCGGTATTTTAGAGACAGGAGCTGCTGGGGGAAGGAGAAGGAATAGTGCATCCCTCTCAGCAGCTTCCTTACGATGAAGGCAACAAGGAACAGACTGTTCTATTGATGCTGCATTTCAACCCAAGCTTCTGGAAAAGCCAGTTGTCTCTTAAGGGTCCCACAAAAGCCTCTATTAATTTATTTCTAGCTAACGCTACTGCTCCCTCCTCTGAGCTGTCTCCTGCGAGATTTGCTCAGGTTACTCTTCATACTTTCATTTGGCTTCCACAATTCTGTTTCGGCTTCCACATCTTTAATCTTTCTTACAATGCCTTCAGGGGTCCTCCTTCCTCAGCATTTTCTGCACATTCAAGAAATAGCTGCACTCAGTCACCTTTTCTTCCCTCTCTGTACTTTGCCTCCAAAGGATCTCAGCACAAATATAATTTCAGCAGCTTGCTCCATGCTTATGATTCACCAGCCTTTCTACTTCGGATCTGTCATGTTCTTTCCAAGTGAAAATTTTGACTTGTCTCTCTGGCATTAATTGCCACGCTACTGTCTGGTATTTCCTAAGCTGAGCAAGTGCAGCACCCACATTGAGGTATTTTGAGTAATCTTCTTTAATGCCACTCCACTAAACACATTTTCTAACAACTCTTTAGCTTCTGTGTCCTCTTAATATAGAAACCTGATTTTGGCTTCCCACATCCTTTACTCCCACCTTGTATAACTTGTGTTCCCATAGTTCTGATACATGTAGGAAAGAGGTGACAGGTTTGCATGGGGTCACCAGTCACTGTATCCTAAAACACATGTGGAGGTCTCAGTAGATTTGGTGAATGAAAGTAGATTAAGTCTGAAAACATCCTTTGAGACTAACCCAGACCACCCTTTGCTCATTTTTTTTTGTCTTATCTCTGCATTTGAGAAGGTGAATAATAATCAAGCCTACCAGAGTTTTCTAAAGGCAACTGTATCCAACTGTGAAGGTGTAAACACAAAAAAGAGGGGCTGAGCCCTTAGCACTGACCAACGGGGAATAACTGGGAGTAATGAGATTAAACTGAACAAAGGAAAACCACTGAAGGTTGAACATCAAGAAAATATCCTGGCGGTGTCTATCAGACCATGGACTAATTTCCCACGGGAAGCGTTGGAAACTCCATCTCTTGAGTCTTTAAAATTAGACAAGATAAATCACTAAAAAACAGAGGGCTGGGAACAACCCAGCTGGAATTGGAAAGGGATGAGCTAGACTGTTTCAAAAGATGGTTTTAGTCTCTGTTTCTCTTATCCTGAAATTAAATAACATGACTTGCATAGAGTCTGCTCAGGCAGGACTGACAGACCTGCAGCTGCACCGTGTTCTCCTCATTATGGTCAGGTTGAAATGCTAATGTGACTCTCGCTGATCATTTTTCTGTGTTGTGGTAATGTTACAGCTCAGGCCTGCTAGGGTAACCGGAGGAGTCCCCCATGGGCCCTCCTCCTCCCCGCATCGCAGACCTGGTTGGGGAACATCAGAGGATTTTTCTGCCAAAATGCTTCTTTGTTTTGGACTGAATCCTCATTATGTCCTCGACCATGTACCCTGTTGGGCTGAGCTCCCCTAGATGGCAGAGCTGAAGCGATTTGAAATGCAAAATGCTGTATGCAGCCTTGCTGTAATAGGGACTGCCATAGACAGCTCTTGTTAGAAACAGCTTCTGTTGTTGCATTTCACTCTTTGCCGCATGTCAGAGATTGTCCAACTCCTCTAACAGTTACTGCAGTTAGAATCCGGACCCAAAAAGCCATTGATTCCCATGAACGATTCAAGTTTCCAGTTCTCAGAAAGATCAAGCCAAGAAAATGGTTCATTTATGGTTGTGTCTTTAGCAACCCCCCTTGGTCCAGCTGCATGGACTTTTTGAGAAGAAAAATCAGCTTTGATACAGTTATGCAAATGCTTGCTAAAAGAAATGAATGTGAGAGGCAAGTTCGGAGAAGTTACAACTGACCTTCTTGTCCACTTGCGCTTTTCAAGCCTTCTGTTACGTAAAACTACGGGTTACCTCATGAGCAGCGTTAGTCTGCACAGTTTTTCTTTCTGTCCTCACACAGATGTTTTTCCA